GCTGTTAACCACCCAGTGGTACTGTGGAAGAAAAGACTGGATTGAATTTGCCAGCCCGTACTCACAACAGATTTTTCATTTCATTCACCTTCACTAATGCACAGGCACAGAAAAACAACACAAACCAAAACACCTAACAAAAAAAGACAACCAAACTCACTACCGTGGGGCTGAGTCAGACTCATAGCTACCCTCCATCTTTTCAAGGCTGTAAATCTTGAAGAGAGGAGGGAGCTCACATGACTGGTGGATTCGAAAAGCTGACCTTTCAGTTAGCAAACCATCTATAACCTATTACACCTCCTGGGTTCCTTTCTCTTGCACTAATAAGGCTAAGGGTGGTTGCCTAAGGGGTAAAGAGCTGCACTCTCAACCCAAAGGCATGTTGGTTCTGATCTGACAGCTGCTCTGTGGGAGAAAGATGGACAGTTTCCTCCCATGTCATTTATTGTCTCTGAAAATCTGCTGGAGGCTAAGCTGAGATGTTGCCAACTTGACAGTACTTAATAACTAAGATAAATAAGAACTATATACCTCTGTTCTGTTTTACCTACACATTTTGAAAAAAATAAATGTAACTCAGTGCCATCAACTGGATTCCTACACATGTTTTTCCAAGGCACTAAGTCTTTCTAGGAGGAGACTGCCCATCTCCTCCTCCCCCCTAGCAAGGAGAAGGGATCCAAACCAGTTAGCAGCCCAGCACATGATGCCATCAAGCCTCCTCGAGTGTGGATAGTAATGGATGGGGATTTAGCAATTGAAACAGTCATTAAGATAGTTAGGAAAGATGCGAACGTCACACCTAACATTCTGGTGATGTCTGGTGGCATAGTTTAGTAAGTTTCAGTGGTGGTATGGAATAAGTGTTATGGATCAGAGTTGTTGAAGGATTGTAGGAGAAACTAGCTTGTTTAGAACTTATTTTTCCAGGCAGTTGTCCTTTTGGGACTATTATCTGTACTTTGCAGAAGAAATATGTGTTCTATTTTAAAAACTCCCCTTTATTCATATTAACAAGCATGTAAGAGTCTTTAAAAATCATGCCTTTCAGTTACAAGCAGAGCATAAGGATTAGAGGAGAGAAGGCAAGAACGAACCCAATTTGCTCATTAATAAAGCAATGTCTCCTGGCCACCAGGTGGCACAGTTGTTCCATAATGTGACTCTGGATAGTGCTTGGGATGCTTGGAGAGGATGGCATTAGGAAGGGACAGTTCTGTGAGTTGCTCTAGAGTAGGAAACTGTTCAGTTGTCCTCTTAACTTGGTGATATATGACTTTTTTTTTAAAAAAAAAAGATCATATCCTTCTTGTAATTTTATGAGAAAACCAGCACTTTTTATATATAAACATCAACAAAATATTGATAGCATTAAAATTAATGTAGAACAGTACTAGTTTGTGAAAGAACACATGCACTTTGGTTTTATTTAGATAGGATGGTACTTAAAATTATACTCTTAAAAAGTAGTGGGTGGCTGTTAAATCCTACTGTTGTTAGATGTTGTTAAGTTGATTTTTGACTCATTCGGATCCCTCATGATATAGTAGAACTGCCATGTAGAGTTTTCTAAGCTGTGTTTTTCTAGGAGTAGATAGATAATCAGGTCTTTTTCTCCCTTGAAGCTGTTGGAGAAGTTCCATCCTCCAACCTTTAGGTTAGCTTGTGAACACTTAACTATAACACAAACAGTAGCTTAGATATTGTCAAGATGAGAAATACCTTACTGATAAGAGCAGTGACTAAAATGAGGAGCTCTGGTGGTGTAATACAAGTTGTGCTGCTAAACGAAAAGTCGGCTCTTCATAGGGATTTGATTCTTAGAAGATCCCATACATCTATTTTATTCTGTCCTGGTTGTAGAATTTTCGTTATGATTGTGACTCAGCTATTCCACTACTGAGTATATACCCTAAAGAAATCAGAGCCACGACTCAAACAGATGTATGCATACTCATGTTTATTGCTGCATTATTCACAATAGCCCTGGAAGCAGGAGCAGCATCCACTTCCGAAATGGCTTACCTCCAGAAACTCTATGTGCGAACAGTGCTCAGGCCGTTCGTTCATAGGGTTGCTATGAGTCGCCTACGACTTGACGACATCAAACAACAACAACAACAACAACAATTCACAATGGCAAAGACATGGAAGCAGCCCAAGTGCCCAGCAAATGGATTGAAAAACTTATACATTTATACAATGAAATATTATATGGGATTAAAAAAACGATGAACTTACAAAACACTACAACATAAGTGAACCTGAAAGACATTATGCTGAGTGAAATATCTCAGTTACAAAAGCACAAATTCTGCATAGAACCATTGTGATAAAATAAGACTGATATGGCAGTTGGAGGGAAACTAAGAAAAGGGGATAAATAATGAACACTGCATTGGAAAGATGAAGGAAAGAACTATCTGAAAGGAATATATGATTAGGCATTACATACATGACAATTAACAGTCTGGAACAAGAGGCATATTGCAGAGTGGATGGGTGAGGGGGACGGGAGGGCAAGGGAGGAAAATGTGCAACAATGAATGAATGAAAACCTAACCTTTCTATAAACTTTTGTTAAAATAAAAAAAAAAATAGTCTTAAGTAGTATTTGTCCTTTTGTGACTGACTTACTTCACTCAGCATGACGTCCTCTAGAGAAAGACTATACAATAAAGCAGTTATAAAAATCTGTATGATTGATTAAAAAACCAATATGTTTTGTAAACTACCACTGAAATTACAGTAAAAACAAAAACAGGATCTTTTAGAGGCTGAAGGAATCTAGAGATGCATCAGATTGATCTTGTTTTTTCATTTTTTTTATTATGATTTTAATGAAAGTTTACCAAAACAATTAGATTTTTCATTCATTGTTGCATTTTCCTCCCTATCCAAGTTTACTTGAAAAAAAAGTGATTCATTCACTATTGCATAGTTTCCTCCCCCTACCCCCCAGTTTACTCCCCCACTCCAGTCCACTCCTCCTTGCCCCAGTGTACTTTGCTGTGCATGTCTTGTTCTGGACTGCTGTCATACAAATAAGATATTTCACTCAGCTGAGATATTTCACTGAGCTTAATGTCTTCCAAGATCACCCATGTTATGTACTATTTAAGAGCTCCTTGTTTTTCAGTGCTGCATAGTATTCCATTGTGTGACTATATATCATTGTTTTTCTGTCCATTCATTTGTTGATGGGAGATTGACCTCTTATGTGCCCCACCAGAGTAAAGAGGTACCCCTCCATCTAGATACCTTTTTTATTTATTCTAGAACTTTAACGCTGGATTTTATGCTTTGATTTCTTAGTTATAAAATGCTATATTTATAATACTACTTCTAGAATATTTGTTCAGTATCTGTATAATAAGAGAGTTTTGGTGGTGCAGTCAGTACGGAGTTGAACTGCTAGTCAAAAGGCAATTTGAACCCATCAGCCACAGGGAGAAAGATGGACACTCTACTCCCATGCTATTTACAGCCTCAGAAACCTGCTGGAGGTTCAACTGTGAGTTGGTTCCAATTCAGCAGCAAAGAGGGTGTTTTGGACTGATCTATGTAATTATTTTTGGGAATCCCCAGAGCACTTGATTGTGCTTATGTGGAGGCAGTCGTCAAAACAGAGCAAGGAAAAACGTCATGGTTCAAAATCAGGAAAGGTTTATGCCAGAGATGCATCCTAACCTCATACCTTTACAATCTGTATGCGAAACAGATTACCTAGGAGGTTGGCCTCTGTAGAAGGAATGTGGCATCAGGATTGGAAGAAAACTCATCTGCAACCTGTGTTATGCAGATGACACAACCTTGCTTGCCAACACTGAGAAAGACCTGCGACATTTGCTGCAGAAGGTCAAGGTCTGTAGTCTTCAATAAAGACTGCAGTCTTCAATATATATTGAAGCTCAACATCAAGAAAAACATTCTCACTACAGGGCCAATTGGCAGCATTCTTAACAACTTTGCTCGACAATTAACACTGTTGGTACCAACAACCAGGAAACTGAAAGACGAATTGCAGTGGGAAAATCTATTGTTAAGGGACTCCAGAGTATTGAAGGGCAGTGATGTCAGTAAAGAGGCTAAGATGCACCAGATCTAAGCCATGGTCTTTACAATTACTTGCTATGCATCAGAGAGCTGGACATTGTAAAAGGATGATAAAAGAAGAATTGATGCCTTAGAGTTGTGGTGCTGGAGAAGAGTATTGAAGATACTGTGGACTGCTAAGAGAACAAACAGATCTGTCTTAGAGAGGTTGAAACCAGGCTGCTCCTGGTTTTTGAAGCTCTGTATCATGTACTTTGGGCATGTTGACAGGAAGGACCAGTCCTTGGAGAAGGACATCTTGCTTGGAAAGGTGGAGGGGACAGCACAAGAGAGGAAGACCCTGAATGAGATGGATTGATTCAGTGACTAGGGTAATGGAGATAGGTGTGTTGGAGACAGTTAAATTGGCTCAAGATAGAGCAGGCAGGGTTCAGAGCTGTTGTATATATGAGTTGAAATCGACAATACATAACAACAACAATATGTCATTATTTCTATAACATGATACTTTTTTTATAGTTAGAATATTTGTAATAGCTAACAATTTATGATAGATTACACTTCTTTTGAAGAAATTTGTCACAATAAAGTTCTGTGAGTACGAAATTTGAAGAGAGGGAGCTTTGGTGGCCTAGAGGTAAGTAGTTGTATTGCCAACCCAAAGCACATGGTTCAAATCCACCCGTTACTCTGCGGGAGAAAGATAGACTATCTCCTGCCATGAGATTTACTGCCTCTGAAAACTTGCTGGAGGATCAACTGTGGGTTGGTTCTAACTGTGTGATACATAACAACAGCATGATAACGTATACTTTTACCTCTGAAGACAGTCTGAGCCAGTTACAGACAATATATCTGTGTCCACAGTTATTTTCAAGCTTATGCATTAGCTTGGTAAGATTTTTTCTAATACCTCTTCACTTTGGTTCTTTTTGAAACAGTGATCACATGGAAAATGTATATGGATATTTGATGAAGTACACCAATCTTGTCACTGGGTGGCAGTACAGGTGAGTGACTGTTTTGTCACATAACGCTCCTAAATACAGAAAAGAAAGATTAATGATTTTCTGTTCTGTATGAGCGTGGCTGGAAAAACCTTTCCAAGAAGGCCTGCTGATTCTTTTTCTTGTGCGCCTGTTTTCTGAAAGTATCATGACTTGCTTTCTCTTGGGAGAGGAGTTGACATTTATTGAAATGACAGTCTCCAAATGCCTTAAAAGCTGCTCTGTATGAGAATCAGAATCACCTATTTGTCTGCCATGACCTTTTTATACATGCAAAGATCATGATGTTGGGGACCATTTGGAAGCAGGAAACCCTGTATTGGGAGCCTTTTTTTGTACAGATTCTCAGATCTTCTCTGGGTAATTGTAGAAGTGAAATAATAATTCAAAGCCAGCAGTCTCAAATACTTTATGAAACTGATAGTTGTGGGGTAAGGGAATTAAACTTTTTCTATGTATTAAGACTAGAATTTGAAGCCAGGTATTTCTGACCCCTCAAGTCTATGCTGTCTCTGTTATATCATGCAGTTCTTCACATTGTAATTTGCAGTCGCTTGGAGAAATCAAGCCTTCCTTGCTCTAAAATGTAGTGCTCTAGAATTGTACACTATAGTAAGACCCCTCCTGGGCCCACCTCCCTTGACTTTCAACTCTAATTTAGAGCAACTGGATTAGCAGTGCAACTCCATAGACCATACTCCTAGAGCTCTCTAAAGTAACGACTATAGCCCAGAAAATTCTGTAGAGCACTTGCATGCTGTAATGTATAACTGCCATGAGTTAGAGTCTGATTGGCAGCAGTCGTTCTTGTTTTGTTTTGGTTTGTTTGGTTTCTTTTATTGTTGATGTTGTTTAACATTAAAGAATTCTGGTGGAGATGGTTTGCAACAAGGTGGAGGTTGTATGAGAAGTTAGTCATTCCTTTTGAGTTAAGAAGGGAAATTCTTCCCATCTTTTATTTTTAAAAAGCCCACCAAAAATAAAAACCAAATCATATTTAAGAAAGAAAGCTTTTTCATTTTGCATTTTTTATAAAATTCTTTGGAGGCATATACATTTAAGAAATCGTTAAGATACTAATTTTTAAAAAATTTTTATATTCCTTTGTTTTAGCATTATCCTTTGTATTGTTTCTTAAAAGATTAGCTTTTTCCTTTTCCACTATTCAATAGCTTTCATTCACAAATACTAAGAACGTCCCACACAGAACACAGGAAGCCTCAAAATGGGTAGAAGCATGTGATATTTGGTATATGTTAAAAATGGCAATTTTGGCCAATGACAACTTGAGACTTGAGGAAGAAGGGGAAGTTGTTTCTAGTGTTTCATGGCAGAGGCTGCCATAAAGCTCCATTGAGCCAGTGTGGAGAGCCTGCTAGCCAAGCCAAACCAATTCTTTTTGCATACTGAAGGGACACCACTTTTTGTTGACGTGCTCCATTCAGCTCAGTAGAGAGCCAATTTCAGAAATACCAGAAAGTAAAAAAATACCAGAAAGTGGAGAAAGGAACAGATCATCCCTGTTTGCTTCAGCAAGCACAGAGATTGCCCCCAAAAGATCTCAACTGTTGGCTTCACTGCTGCATGCTCACTCTGGGCATGGTGCTAGGAGAGGCTGTTCCTTGGATCGTGCTTGGAAAGGTGGAGCCGAAGTGAAAGAGAAGAAGACCCCAATTAGATGTATTGATAAGCAACTGCAGCAATGGGCTCAAGTGTGTCAGAGACAATGAGGATGGCTTAGGATAGGACAGGGTTCACATCTGTTCATAAGGTCACTGTGAGTTGTGTTTGACTTGATGGCACCTAATGACAGCAACACTTAAAGGCGAAAAAGTCTATTTTCAGTTTTCTGTCAACTTGACTAGTGATCATATGACACAACACAGATATCCTGGGACATGAAGATCGAATGGTCAAAAGGAACAAGAAGAAAGTATTAAGGTCCTGTTGAAGAGCCTCCCTAGATAGCTCATTCTCTTCATCACTTTTGTCCTTATGCGTGCTACAGGTGAAGCTTTCAGTACCAAAATCTCTGCTCCTGTACTAGATTGTCCAGCTGTTCCCTGCATCCATTGCTATTTTGACTAAGCATCTTGGAGAAATCAAGCATTTTTTGCTCTGAAATGTAGTACCCTCAGAAACTGTACAATAGGAAGACCCCTGCCCTGAACCCCCTCCCTCTGCTCTGGGACCCTTGTTCTTCCTATGTGACCGAGGTGATGCACACTGACCAAGTGTGTGCTTGTCTTCATCCTATATCCACATTCATGTTTATTGTTTAAATACACTTCAGTTATACTTTTTATAAAAATAAATAATACTTTTCCAAGTTATACTTTTATAGTTTAAAGTTGCATTTGATGACAACTGTACATTAAGGATCCCAGCATTTAGTCATTTTCCTAAACTCCGGGATTTGGTAGTTTGAAATTTTAAACATAAACTAATTTAAGTCTTCACATTGTTCTGTTGACAATTTGCATACATTTTCTGTATGTGAAGACTTAGGCTGAATCTTAAATTTCATGTCACACTTAGCTTTCATTTCTCCATGTCTTGTTTCGTGGTTAGGCCACCCAGCTAACAATGTTTCCATCAAGAGTCACCAGTACTCTTCAGAGCTTTGTTACGTTTCCTCACTAGAGGGATGTCTCTATCACCAGTCTACATATCTCATAAAATACCAGTTTACAGAAGGAGTCTGGGGAAAACTTTTGGATTAATTCATGCCAGCTGCCCTCGTATTGCCATTGAGTCAATAAAATCATCTTGGCACTGGAAAAATAACAGTTACTGGCTTTGTTTAATTTTACCATTTTCTCATTGTTGCTTTCTGTGTATGTAGAGGATTGGCATCTGTGTTAGAAAGCTTGGGATAAGAAACATGTATTCACAATAAATTTGAGATTTCCAGATATCTTGTACTATAAATTGTCTTTGACTATGAGTTGTCTTTGCCAGTTTGAAAGGAATATACTTTGCTTCTTAGGACAATAGTTCCTTTGTCTCTGTCATCCTATATCAGCTTTATTGAGATACTATTACAATCTAGTTCACCCACCTAACGGGTCGAGTTCAGTGGTTTTTAGTATATTCAAAAGATTACTTTCTCGCTTATATGAAACATATATTTCAAGTTGTTTTTTTAAAGTTACTAGTTTATTTTAAAAGATCTGTGTGGATATTTTAAGAAAGTATCTTATAAATTATGTCAGTGACTCTCTTAATTCAGATAATCCCTTTAATTAAGTCTTTGGAAAAGTAAAGAGAAATAATTCTATTAAAAATAACAAGAAAATAACAAATAAGTCACTAAGTATAAATTTAGAAATTTAATTTTTTTTAATCACATGTATGAATATTAAAAATCAGAAGCATGATGAAAGTCTTTTGCTTTTCTGCCTTCTTCTCAGTCAGTTGTTGCCAACTCGTTTTGTTCCTTCTCATCCATTTTGTCTCTTTTCCTTAATATGAGGATGATCCCAGGCTTTCTCTGACTCAGTTTGCTGGGATTACCACATTGCTTGGGACAGTTAGCATCTTCCCGAACTCCTGCTGGATCAAGTTGTCTACCATGTTCTAGTATAGAATGTGCTAACCTGTAGACTTCCAAAGTGCTCCACTGCCAAGCATCAGTTTTTAAAAGTGAAAGCTTTTTTAGAAGTTTTGTTTTAATAATGATAGTCTCTGCTACTTAAATTGACATCTTAATTAATTTCCTAAAGTGGTTAATCTAGAGCCAAATCAGAACATCAAATTCTCCTCCAAAGTGTCTCAGTATTTCATCACTTAGTTTCAAGTTCCTATGTTTCTGCATCTCCAGTTGCAACATTTTCATTTTTAAACAGGATGAGTAGTCTTTAGTTGTGACCTACTTAATGATACATTTGCAAAATCTTTCCATTCTAGCATTGTTCTCAATTTATATTTCACTTACTAAATCTTAAAACAGAATTGCTTCTTCCCCAGCATTTAATTAACCTCAGGGTTCATGTTTTAATTTGTTGCCAGTGAATTTTAAATAGAAATTCTTACCTGCTAACTTTGGGTAATTTCCTCTCCCTGTTAATTGAATTCTAAAGATACATCTTCTTCTGAAAGGATACTGTATCTTTGTTTTCCTTTTACATTATCTGGTATGTCTCCTCCCTATCAATTGCCTTCCTCAGCTAAAGATTTTATATCTTTCATTAAACTCATTCTGTTTTGCAATAAACTTTACTGTTAGTAAATTTACCCCAGTATTTCCAAGTACCTTTAAAATGAAATGCTTTTAGACTTTATTTTTAATACTAAAAGTCTTGATGTATGTAAATGATGGAATTTTGGTTTGCATTATTTTGGCCAGGGTATGAGTACTTAAAAATTTAACATTTTGTTGTTGTTAAATCATTATAGGTTTTTTGTTTTAAACAATGAAGCCGGACTGTTGGAGTACTTTGTGAATGAGCAGTCTAGAAATCAAAAACCCAGAGGTACTTTGCAGCTTGCAGGAGCTGTAATATCACCCAGTGATGAAGACTCTCACACCTTCACTGTTAATGCTGCCAGTGGGGAACAGTATAAACTCAGAGGTAGGATGGAGATCGCAAAGTCATACTTTGATTTTCTTCATGGCTTGAGAAGTTGATGTTCTTCCCTACTGTCATTTGGGGTTTGGAAATAGAAATCAGTGCTATAGAGATAATGTTCTATATCTTGGAATTGCCTTAAGCATTTATAACATAGTTTTTCAAATGAGCCAATGAAAAAAAATCTGTGTAGAGTTAACCCTTCTAAAATTTTTGTGTAGAATAAACCTTGATTTCTAAGAAATCTAAAAATAAAGCCTTTTTTAAATGTTTGCCACAGAGATGTTGTTGTTGTTATGTGCCATTGAGTTGCCCGTGATTCACAGTGATCTTATATACAATAGCCCTGCCCTTTTCTGAGCCAGTCTCACTGACTCCAACACACCCGCCTCCATTGTCACAGTTATTGTGCCAATCCATCTTACCTGGGATCTTTCACTCCTTTGTTGCCCCTCCACCCTTCCAAGCGTGATGTTCTTCTCAAAAGACTGGTTCCTACTGATCACATACCCAAAGTATGTGAGATGGGGCTTTAGAATCCTAGCCTCCAAAGACAAACTTGATTTTATGCTCCCCAGGACAGACCTGTTTGTTCTCCTGGTGATATATTTAATACTTTTCTCCAGCAACACAACTCCTTAGCCATTGTCCAACTCTCTCACCAGAGAGTTCTCTAAGCAGCAAGAAATTGTGAAGCACATGGCCTGGATCAGGTGCACCTTATTCTCTAGTCTGACAGCATTGCTCTTTAGCACTTTGGAGAGGTCTCTGACAGTAGACTTCCCCAGTGCAATTTGTGTGTTGATTTCGTGACTGCTGATGCCAACAGTGTTGATTGTGGAGCTGAGCAAACTGAAATTGTTAACAACCTCTTTCTCTTCTCCATCAATCATGGACCTTACACCTTTACTTGATTTGGTCCGAGGCCTCTTTGCACTTTTCTGTCATTATTGTAATGATTTATTTAGGCTTTATGAAACTGTCCATATTTACTAAAACAAAGCATAATTCCACGTAATAATAAACTTAATTTATGGTTTCATTGTTGTTTTTAGTCGATATATAGAAACTATAAGGATAATCCTAACCAGACATAGTACTAGAGATCTGTAAATACCAAGTACACACCAAATGCCTTATACATGGCATTTCTTAAGGTAACATATTTTTTGAGAAAACTTAAGACAGTTCATTTTAATATATCCCTATATAGCTGCATGTAAGTTTGTCTTCTTTATGAAATCACACCCAGTAACTATGCCACCTAACAAGGTAGAGATATTTTCCTATTACCTTTCAGTGATAGATATTTGTTCTAGAGGAATTCTCCAATCTGCATGCTGTAGACACTTATATTTTCAAAACATTAAAAAATGAATAACTTTAAGATTCTTTTTATCAGCCACAGATGCTAAAGAGCGACAACATTGGGTTAGCCGACTTCAGATATGTACACAACATCACACTGAAGCTATTGGAAAGGTATGTGGATTGATGTACAATGTACAAAATAAAAATGGAAACATAATGGCTTTTGAAGTGTAATCATTTTTTAAAAATTATGCTATGCTTAATATGTCATAAAATTTATACATTTGTATAATTCCATGATTTTTAGTTTATTTACAAGGTTGTGCACATACTACTACAAATTCTAAAACATTTTTGTCAGGCCCCAAAAAAGAAATTCTATACCCTTTACTAGTTATTCTTCATTTCTTACTTTAATTCCTGGCTCCATTAATTTGTTTATTCTGGATATTTCATATAAATGGAACCCTACAACATGTAGATTTTTTTTAAAATTTAGCTTATTTAAAGCTTCACCCATTTGTAGAATGTATCAGTATTTAATATCTTTTTATCAGTGAAGAATATTTCATTGTGCAGGTATACCAAATTTTGTTTAACTGTTGATAACTTGAAAAACACTTGAGTTGCATTCATTTAGTGACTATCATGAATCCTTATGTCATGAACCTTTGTATACAAATTTTAAAATTTGTTTTGTTTTTTTGTGGGAATATAAATAGAGCATCAATCCAGCATTTTCTACATGTATCGTTCAGTGACCTTGGTTATATTCTTCAAATCGTACAACTACTCTCACCTTAGTTTTCCAGATTGTTCCTCCCCATTAAAATAAATTCACTGCCCTCTTAAGTTTCAATTCTAATCTCTAGGGTTGTTGTTGTAAATTTAATCTCATAGAAATAGTCCTTAAAATTGAGTACATTGTTCTTCCCTCACTGCGCCCTTCCAGTTAGTTCCAGAAGTAGTAAGTAAACTGGCATAGGAAGTGAGCAAGACACTTAAAATGTCCTTCCAACATTGTCAGCTGTGAAGTGAGCATTTTATTCTTAGTAAGATTGCTAGGATTAAATTGATTAGCACACTAAAGTTACTTAAAACAGTGTCTAGAATGTATTATGTTGTTGTTGTGTACCATCGAGTCAGAACCAACCCATTGCAGACCCTCCAGTGGGTTTTCAGAGGCAGTTAATCACACAGGAGAAGACTGCCAGTCTTTGTCTCACAGAGTAGCTGGTGCATTCGAACCACGTACATTTGTGTTGGCAGCACAGCTTCTTATCAGTAAGGCACAAAAATTTCCTAGAATGTGATCTGTGCTTCATTAATATTATTTTAAAGGTTTAAGCCAAGTTTATATGAATAATTTTTTTCTTTTATATTACCATTCATTATGTATATATAAAAAAAGAACACACTGCTCAAGGCAGAATTTTAAAAAAATGTAATTATTTGTTTTCACAAGGACTTGAGGGAATATTTTTTGTTTAAGAATTCTAGACCATCTAGTTATGTTAGCAGTAGTTTTAAGAGTTGGTCCAGCTTTCATGACTCCAAAAGTTCTAGAGTTCATGAAAATTTGAAATTGTTTTGCATTTTACCCCTTTTGATCAGGATTTTGCTGTATACCTTTTCATCAAGAAGTTCAGTGATAGTTGCCAAACAACTGGTTTTTGGATAATTGAAATAGTTGTTCCTAGAAGCAATTAACCGTATATTCCATGTCCTCTTTTTATTCCTGACTTTTTCATTTGTTGCTCTAGATAAAAAGACACAAGTTGTACACTGGATGACCACCTGCCAGGATTTTAAGACTCTAGGCCATTTGTACTTAAATCTTTTTGTGAACATCATTTTAATTCTCTGTTGTATATGCCAGAGAGCACTCACTATTGGCATAGTTCATGGAGAATTAATCTATGAACCCAAGGCCACACCTCTTTGGTGGTTCTAATCCACCAGTGGCTGTGTGAGAGAAAGAGAGTCTCTTCCTATGTGATTTGCAGCCTTATAAATCCAAGGTAGGGTCAACCATAAGTTGACTGTTTTAGTATTATTTTTTGTATGTGTGTACCGTCAAACTGGATCTGACTGGTACAGGAGGAGATTGCCTTCCTTATCCAGCAGAGTATCTGGTGAATTTGAACTGCGCGCCTCTGGGATTACAGTGCAGCTTTTTGCCACTAGGCCACCAGAGCTGAGTTGATTTTGACATGCCTTCGGAGTTTGTTTTTGTTGGTTTTTTTTTCTTGTTGTGTACCATTGAATCATATCCGACTGGCACAGGAAGAGATTGCCCCTCCTTCTCTAGCAGAGCATCTGGTAGATTCAAACCTCGTGCTGTGGGGATTGCAGTGCAGCTTCTTGCCGCTAGGCCATCAGTAGTCCCTCCTTATCTTTTTTTTTCTCCTCTTTATGTTTATCTTTTTGAGGAACTACCAGACTCCTTTGCAGAATGGCTGTACATTTTACATCCTCATCAGCAATATATGAAGGTTCTAGTTTTTTCACATTTTCACCACTTGTTCTTATTTTGCTTTTTTGATCTTAATCATCTAAGTTGGTAAAAAATATTATCACACTATTTTGAACTAATTTCTCTAATGTGTTGATGTTGAGCATCTTTCATGTCTTTATTGATCATTTGGAGTTTTATTGATCTTCTTGGAGTTTTTTTGGGGGTTTTCCCCTAATTCATGAAATGCAAAGTTAGAGATGCCCCAAAATAATAAACATTGTTACATAGGTAATATTTTATTAAGTAAAATTTACTAAGGAAAATATTTTGTTCTTTTATTTGCCCTGTCCCACAGTTAAACATTTAGTATTTTTTTTCTTTAGTTTTGGACCTAGTCTTCAGGAAATCTGACACAAAAGCTTTATTTAAACTGCAAGATTCCAGTGGTAGTCAGTTATTAGGAAGTACTATTTTGTTCCTAAGGTAGTACATTACAGATTATACTGCATGTTGCTAAATATATTTCTTTGTTTCAGTCATGGTGTTTAAAGATCTGAAATGATAAATTCTTGTTGCTCTAATATTAATAAAATGTGAAAGAAAATTCTTGATAACTCAAAAGTGGAGGTTTAATTTTTAAATAAAACTGCCAATTTATTGTTACATATGTGAAGTTCTTAAATTTGAGTTCAAATGTAATTATCATCAGCTCTGAGTTTAATTCATTTCATTTTTCAAACTGTTCATGTCTGAGCTTCAAGTATGTGAGGGTCAGAGAACCCCCGCAAAGGGAATGATTTTGTTTGTCTAACAGAGTAATCCTCCTCTGAAGTCACGGAGCTTCTCACTTGCATCTAGTGGCAGTTCTCCAATATCCCAGAGGAGACCAAGTCAAAATGCCATTTCTTTTTTTAATGTTGGACATTCCAAACTTCAGTCAGTGAGCAAAAGAGCTCAATTACCTCCAGACCATCTTGTGGAAGTCAGAGAAGTAAGTATGAATTGAAGTGAAGTTAAAAACACCAAATAATTTCTGCTTGATTTTGTCACACAGTTCTCTTAACTATTATTTGTGTCTTCTGGGCCCTTATTGTTTCCCTATAGATTCCCTGGTTATAGCTGCATCCTAAGTTTTCTCATGCCTATTAACTCTCCATTTGGTACATTGTCATTTTTCAAAATACACTATTTTTTCACGTCAGGTAAAAGCATAAGCTCCTTTCATGGAAAATTTGGCCTAATGAAAAGTTCATGGCCAAACAAATTACTCTTTTTTTAACTCAAAATTAAAAGCTTGTGAATTATTAATAGGAGTAACTGATGCAACATTAAATAATCACTCATAGAAAATGTAAAATATACAGCAAAACAGAATAGTTAAATCTTTGTTACTGACTTATCATTTCTCCTTCTCCATTAAACTCAGAAATAGGTAATGCTAGTAAACAAAGGAATAAAAGATTCCGTTTAAGTTCAAAGTATTCTTGGTATTTTTTTGTTGACCTTTTCATCTCTGTAGTGGATTCCTTAAGTAATCTTGTTAAATGATTAAGGGTGGAAGCCTGGGGAGAAAGTACCTTCTCTCAAGTCATCTTTGGTGATGTTTGTAGGTGAAGAAATTAGGATGTGAGTAACATTCTTGAGATGCACAATGGAAGACAATAGTTTGACTCATTTTGTTTATATATAGGTAAAATTTTGTTATATAATGATGAGGCAATTACAAAGTTCTTTCCCCTCTTTTTTCTTAAATGGGTGTATTTGGGTTATTCATGATGATGACATCCAGTTTAAAAATAAGTTCTTAGTATTTGTCTTTTGAGGAGACCAAACTTTATATAATCAGTCTAAAGCTTTGGTGCCCAACTGGTAAGGAGCTGTGCTGCCATCCCAAAGGCATTTGGTTCAAATCCCCCAGATGTTCCATGGGACAACAATGGGCTGTCTCCTCTCATTTAATTTATAGCCTCTGAAAACCTGCTGGAGGGTCAGCTATGAGTCAATTATTGTTTGAAGGCACATAACAACAGAGAACAAGAAAAGGAAACATCACAGGAAGTTAAGATAGCAAGGAAAAAATAAGGAATTTGGTGTCTCTTAATCCTTCAAAACTAGGTAGCCATGAAACTTTGGAATTCTTTAATAATCGTTAGTAATGGAAACACAAGTTGGTTCTCAAGTGGATTCATAGTGGTTCTGGGATACTGATCATTCTTCATTTCTTGATCCAGGTGTTCATTACACAACAGCATGGTCGGTTGTGTTATTAAGCGCATATACTTGTGATTTCTCTGTGTGTGTGTGTGTGTGTGTGTAAAAATAAATAAACTTTATATTAAAAATACAGTAAAAAGTTAAAAGTCAGCAAAACCCCATGATTATTGTTGTGGTTACAGGGCATATTTTCAGGAAAGGGGAACCCTTTTATGCTTGAGATTTTAACTTTCTATGGAGCACTTGTAGATGCACTGGTGACACAGTGGTTAAATGTGCAACTCCTAACTGAACAACCAGTGGTTAGAACCCACCAGCTAGTCTGCATGAGAAAGGTGTATAAATGTGTGTGCTTCTAGAAAGACCTATGTCCTTGGAAACCCCTCTAGTAGTTCTCTGTCTACAGGGTTCCTCAGAGCCAGAATTGACTCAGTGACAGTGGGTTGGGTTTTGTGCGGAGAAACTTTATGCATCAGTTCCTGCAACCTGATGTACCCTTATTGTCATTGTTCCTTAGCTTCTCATTTCTTAACACCTCTTAATAATTTGTGATTCTCACCAGCCCAGGAGTCATTTCTTTTCATACTCACACTCTAGAGGGCTGTATCCTTCGGTATGTTTTTCATGTCATTGTGATTTCATGTTAATGTTTACCAAATAACTGGCACTCGGGTGTAGAGTTTATTGCTTAAGTTTTCTAACTACCTCTTTGGGGAGGAAAGGTATCTTAGCTGAATGGCATTGTCTTCACTAGGTTGGTATATTTGCATTTAGGAACACAATGCTAAATTATGACTATAGTAGGAATATTTCTATAATATATCCTGTTAGAATAATTATTTCTTAGAAAACAGTCCATTTGGAGTGATTATATGTATTTTTTTTGATGTGTGTTCTACACAAATATTAAACAAGCATACATCCAAAACCTTTCTTGCCTCTAAAATTTAGCTTACCATGATTATTTGAAATAATCATCTGGTCTCTAGAGGCTGTTTCAAAGTCTCTCTTAATATTTATAAATCTTACTATATTTTATGGCTTAAATGTATTTCATTATGAGAACTGTAAACACTTTATGAAAGTAAAATTCACTGGAAAATAGTTTTATCCAAAACAGTAACTTGAAATACATGCTAAGTTAGAGTCATAGCTAATAGTTTTCAGAAATTGAAAAAAAACCTTTTAAGCTAATTTAAAATTTACCAAGAATTACAGAAATGATAAAATATTTCTATAAATCCTGTCACCCAGCTTTCCTTAATATTTCTTTAATATTATCATCTTATATAACCACAGTATAATTATCAAAGCCAGGAAATTTCATTGATGCAATACTATTAAGCATATACTTACTCAAATTTCTGCAGTTTTCCCACTAAATGTTCTTTTTCTGTCCCAGAATCTTCTTCAGGGTCCACATTACATTTGATTGTTGTTTCTCTAATTGTTCCTCAGTCTTTGCATGTTTTTCATGGACTTGATACTTCTGAAGATTATTGATCAGTACTTTTTATTGATGAATTTAGATTTATTTATCTGATATTTTCTCGTACATATAAGACTGAATATTTGAATATGAGACTGCATGTTTTTAAAAGAATACAACAGAAAGATGTTGTATCCACAGTGTGTCATCACATCCAGGAGTTCATGATGTCACTGTGTCTTATTTCTGGTGATGTGGCCCGTGGTCACTGGTTAAGATAGTTTCTATAGGATTTCATTGCTGTAAGGTGCTTTCTTCTCCTCTGTTTTAATAACTAACTTGAGGAAATACTTTGAAACCATGGAAAATCTGTTTCTTCTCCAAGAAACCAGGATGACCCGTGATTTTATGTAGTTCTTGAACTTTTTTGGTCTTAAGACTTCTTTCACTCTTAAAAATTATTAAAGATAAAAAACAGTGCACACAAATAATAGACAGTGTACACAAGTTTTGTATGCAAACAAATACAAAATGAAAAAAAAAAATTGAGAAGCTCAGACCAGTCCTTGGAGAAGGACATCATGCTCAGACGGGTGGAGGGACAGCACAGGAGAGGAAGACCCCAGATGAGATGGATTGTAACAGTATCTGGGGCAATGGGGTTGTTGTGTCACAATTAGTGAGACTGACTCAGGACAGGGAAAGGTTCAGAGCTGCTGTACATAGGGTTGCAATAAATAGGTCACAGTGACTCAAGGGCACGTAACAATATACTATATTGGTTGTTTCTTTTAATTTAAGCCTCTTGTTAAGAGTCAGCAAGACCTTGGGGAAGGTCTTTTGTTTTTAAAAGTTGATTGTATACCAATGAAAGAACTTTTTTCCCAAAGGAAAAAAAAAACGAACTGGAGGGGAGCGGGGCAAGGAGGAAAATGTGCAACAGTGAATGAAGGGAAATCCAAGTTCTTTATAAACTTTCATTAAAATCTAAAAAAAAGTTGTTTATTATATTTTGGTGAAACATTCTTCTTAGTGGTACAGCACTCTTCTGTCAATATGCTGTACTGAGGTAACCTGGGTTTGCTGTGATGCTGAACCTTGTGCCATTGGAGTGTCAAATGCCATAATGGTTAACCATGGTGGACAGTGTTTGGTGGAGCTCCCAGTAAGACAGATTTGGAAGCAGGAGTGGCCTCTACTTCTTATACAACATGCTTCTGGAAACTCTGTGAACTTTGATAAAGGACGATAGTTATAGGAAGGCTTCAGGCCTTTTGTTCATAGCATCGATATGAACTGTGCTCAACTCGAAGGCAGTCAACAACAATCATGTATTTGTACATATAATTTATATATATTTTCTCAGTACTATGAGTGCATTACTGAAGATTACAGTCGTTACTGAGACAATATATGTCCTTATAGAGTTACCTAGCTCAGAATGAATTTGAAAGGAATTGTTTAATCAGTCTGTGGATAAATTGAGCATTCTAGTCACAACTGGAAAAAGCTATTGACTATTGGGAATAGTACTAAATTGTACTTGAACATGAATGTCATACTAAATTCTGCCTGATTAAAGTGGTTTGGTTTTGTACTTACTATTTAGTAAGCACTATTTATGATTCATTGTTTACGGCATGATATATTATGTGCTGGGAGCAACTGAAATAAACAGTCTACTAAGAAGAGTAACAGGCAACTTAAATATAAATTCTAAAATCATGGCTATGCTCTGTCATTCTGACAAAACTAGGTGTTGCCTGAGTGATGTACTGCTATTAAACCCCACGCAGGTCAAGTTTTACACATTTCTTAGTTTCTGCTTTCTTGAGGAAGCCGTTTTATACTGACAGGTATAATTAATTTTTTTTTCAAATTACATTTCCATTTTCTTACAAATATATGATCAAGTCATTTGTTTTGGTTTAGGTCATTACCAAGTTTTAACAGTTTCCCTTTATTTGAGTTTTAAAGGTTTTTGTTTGTTTCTCATCCTAGAGTACCATTTCCTTAAGCCTCTTTATTTTCAACAGCAGCACTAGCAGATGGCTTTTAAAGGCCATTTGCCAAGGGAAGCATACTTTTTATTTCTCTTAAACTTGTTTTATATGATTGCTGGGCATGTTTTTTAGTGTCTTAGGTATAATTTTTATTTTATTTATTGTATTATGTAGAAAAGTATACAAATCCCAAGTGTAACTCTTCATGTAATGAAGTGTAAATCTTCAGATGCTATTCCTGAGCCAGGATATTAACATTACCAGCTTCCCTCATTACCCTCATTTAGGTGACATCCCTCCCAGCTCTTGATTTCTAACATGGATTTGTTTTACTTAATTTTGAAATTGCTAAAACTCAAATCATGTAGTATATGCTCCTTTTTGTCTGAGTTCTTTTTGTTTTTGTTGCATACCATCAAGTCAGCAAGGACTCATAGCTGACCGTGGGGGCTGTCGGGGTCGGGGGGATCTAAAGAAAACAATCCACCAGCTCCTCTCCAGCAGGAGTTAAAAGGAGGCAGTTTGCTACTGTAAATATATAGCCTTGGAAATCCTGTGGGGAGACTTTACCTTTTCCTGTAGGATCACCTTGAGTTGAATTAACTAGACAGCAGTGAGATTTTTTTTTTCTCTTTTAAGATATTGCCCAACTGTCCGAGTGGTTCTGTATACATATAACCTTGGATTATTGTGTATTAACTCCCAGGTGTATTACATTCACACACAAAGCACACATGTTAATTTTGACGTGTGTAAATTTGTATACCCCTACATACACTTCTCATTTAAGAATTTTTTTCCCCTCAGAGAATGGTATTTGATCTCTTACTATGGCCTTAAGTGTTCAGGGAGCTATTTCAGACATGACACGCTTGCTTTGCTTTGTAAGCTCATTTTGCATCTCTCTTTCACTAGCCTTCTGATGAACTGTATTAAAAATCATCTGGAACAGAGCCTTGAAAGCTAAAAGAGTCTCTCCACTATAGAGTTTCTGTGTGAACTGGTGTCCAAAAGGATGAGCAATCTGAGAATCTTGAGAATGTTTTCTCTCTGCTCACAATTGAAAGTAATTATAATAAATCCAATTTTCAGCTAAGACATTTGAGTTGGTCATCATTCATTTATTTCATTGACTCTATTAGGAAAAAATGGAGAGGGCTCCTAGTGAAATCATTGTTAAAACTCCTTCAGGTTGCTTCAAAGTGAGCCTGACAGTACCAGAGAGTTAGGTAAGAAAAAGAAGCAGGTAAACCATTATGTAGCTTTAGATGGAGCCTGACTGGAGGTACTGAGGAGAAAGTGGCTCACAGCCCAGACCAGAAATTAATTTTATTTTGGAATGAAAATTATGCATATTGGAGTATTCAGATATCTTCCTTATGGCGTGTAAGCTTTGTACTGGTAATAGAAATGGGAAACCTTATTTTTAACTTTTTTATTGGTTTGCATATAATAATTGGTATGTATTACACTGTAAGATGAGAAACATTTTCAACTTTACTGAGTCCAAAGCAAAAGTGCAACTGCCAAAGTCTTCTACTTTGTGCTTATTTGATAAACAATTATATACTCATCAAGTGAACATTCTTAATAGCCAAGCCAACTTAAGAAAAAAAGAATTTTAACCCTAGTGTGTCCTAAAAAGTAACTCAGAAACTGAGTATGATAATTAAAACGACAACTGAGGTGTACACAATGTACGGAAATCATGAGTAGGACTCACAGAACTATTATTTTCCTTAGATGATGTCTCATGCAGAAGGACAACAGAGAGATTTAATTAGACGAATTGAATGCCTTCCTTCTTCTGGCCATCTTAGTTCCTTGGACCAGGATCTCTTAATGCTCAAAGCAACTTCCATGGCAACTATGAACTGCCTGAATGACTGCTTTCATATTCTTCAGTTACAGCATGCATCCCATCAGAAGGGCTCATTGCCTTCAGGTAAGCTAGAGCTTACAGATAGAGTTTAATATTGAAGGCCAAAAATGTGGGAAAGACTGTAGGCATTAGAATTGTAACTCCAGAAAAATCTCAATTGTTTTTGAAAAATCTAGCAAATAAAAGCTCAGTGAGCCTCTTGGTTTTTAATTTTTATACTGATTTTACATAGGGAGCTCTCTTACCCTAGTTCCATCCCAGAGGCATGCAGTTTGAATCCACCAGCTACTTGACAGGAGAAAGATGGGCATTCTCCTCACATAGAGTTTATAGCCTCTGAAAACCTACTGAAGAGTTAGCTGTAAGTTGATTCTGACTTGATGACTCATAACAACAATTTTATACAAAACTTTGCTATTGTGTTCTTTAATCCTAAAAGAATTCTTACTCTACTGTTTATTGTCATTTAATATAACTAAGTATCTCTAGGTAATGTCTTAAATAAGACTTCAAACTCAATATATCAAAAACTAACCTCTAAACCCTCATCTTTATTTCTGTTAAAATTGTGGCATTACAGTCCTGATAAAACCAAAAACTTTAATATCATCTCTTGAATTTTGGCTCATTTAACTATTCATATCAACATTATAAAAAAGATTAATAATATTTTTAAGCTCTATTAGAAATCATTCCATTTGAAAAAAAACCCCACATATGTCAATCAGTTGAGATACTATTTATTCAAATCTGCATGTGTGGGAAAAAATGTGATGATAAAGAATTATAGAAGTTAATTTTCTATTAAATAATGAATTAAATACTTAGTAGTAACAAAATGGTATTTACCTACTTGATATTTAAAATATATATTTGGTATTTAATATTTAATATTTTGGTATTTCCTTACTTGATATTTACTCTTCTTCAGTTATATCCTCTTGTTTATAAAAGAAAAGTATTTTCAGAAGATAGTGAATCTCTGCTCAGGACAAAATGGTCTTTCTTATGTGTGTTAAAATTCAACATTTCACATCAACAAACTACTTGATGACAATTGTAGGTATAAATAAGGTTACTATTAATAGTAGTCAATACATTACATACTCTTCGAAAGGAACTCAGCAGTCCACTTGAGGAAGAAACATGTACATTTGTTCAATCTAAACAAATACTTAGTTAATTAAATAAATCTCAAATTGAAATACTGAGTGATTCTATGAGTATAATATTGAATGGTACATAAAGTATAGTAAGAGAGGAAGAATATGCAGTCAGTGTACCAAAAATAGTGGTTAACTTTGAATCAGCATATGATTGAGAACTAAATGAAGAAGTCCAAGCCGCACTGAAGGTTTTGCTAAGAAATTGCTGGAGGAATTGATGGAAAACCAATTGAGGTCTTTCACCAAATAGATGCATCTCTAGATGTGCGCAATCATCTATGCCAATTAATAATAGCTCTTCACCAAGTTTGTGCTCATTTAAAAAAAAAGGTTCCAGCCGTGTATAGAAATTATTGAACACAAGTAAAACCGTGCTGAAGATTTTTTTTTTAAAATGGCCAGAATAGTACATCAACAGAACTTCCAGAAATTCACAATGGATTCTAGAGAGGCCGTGGAACCAGGGCCTTATTACTGATCATGATGTCTGATGAATCCTGGCTGAAAGCAGAAAATACCAGAACATTTTTTGCTGTGTTTTGTTGACTATGCAAAGACATTTAGCTCTGTGGATCATAATAAATTATAGATAACATGAGCAAGAATGGGAATTCTAGAATATTTATTGTGCTTGTGGGACCTTTGTACATAGACTAAAAAGCAATCTTTTAAGCAGAATAAGAAGAAACTTTCATTTTTTAAAATCAGGAAAGGTGTGCATCAGGGTTGTATACTGTTTTGATATTTGTTGAGTCTCTAAGCTGAGCAAATAGTTTGAGAAGCTGGACTGTAGGAAGAAGAATATAGCATCAGGATTGTAGGAGGCTCGTCAGAACAACCTTTGTTAGACAGATAACACAATTTTGCTTGCAGAAAGTGTAGAAGACTTGAAGCACTTACTGAAAAAGATCAAAGACTACACCCTTTGGTACGGATAACACTTTAGCAGCAAGAAAGTACAAATCCTCACAACTGGAACAGTAGGCAATATCATGATAAATGGTGAAAAGATTGAAGTTGGCAGTGATTTAGTTTTACTTGGATCTGCAGTCAGTACTTATGATAATAACAGTCAAGACAGCAAAAGATGAGTTGCATTGGACTAATAAATTGTCAAGGTCTTCTTTAAAATGCTAAAGAGCAGAGATGCCCTTTTAAAGGGTAAGAAGTTACTGATCCAAACCAGAGTCTTAAATCACTTCATATGCATGTGAAAATCAGACAGTGAGTAAGGAGACTAAAGAAGAATTGGTATCTCTGCATTGCAATACTGGCTAAGAATATGTAATATTCCATGCACTGCCAAAAGAACAAAAATCTCTCTTGAAGGAAGTGCAGGCACGTTGTTCCTTTAGAGGCAAGAATGGTGAAACTTTGTCTCTCACACTTGAGGCATGTTGACAGGAGGTGCCAGTCTTTGGAGAAAGACATCATACTAGGAAAAGTAAAGGGTCAGCAAAAGAGATGAAGACTTTGAAGGCATTGAATTGACACAGTGACAGTTTGAGCATGACAGCAAGGATGGTACGTGATAGGGCAAGTTTTTGATTTTTGCTTCATAGGATTGCAGTCAACTTAGTGGCACCTAACAAGAGCAACATTATTTATAAAGGTATTTCTTCGCTGTGTTTACATTTTATACAGTGTTCTCTAAGATGACATCTGGGACCTTCCATTTTTAATTCTTCAAAAATTAACACATTGCTAAAGTGAGTAATCCTCAGGAACCTCAAAGTTGACTTTAGACTCTTAAGGATGCTTGTTTACCTAGTCTAATTACCATTTTAAGAAGAGCTATATATATGTATTAGGAGGGCCATGCTGACATTTACCTCTGAAATTTTAGAAAAACAGGTTTATTTTTTGCTCTTGTGACAGTTTTTAAACTAGAAGCTGATGATAAAAACAAAATTTAATTAGTATTTTAAATTTTTCTCTTTGAGATGGTATTTATTACTATGAATTAAAGTGTGACTTTGAAATGGCAGTAACAAAAAAGATAATTGATTTTGCTATGTTTTTATACAGCTGTCTGAGATGTTCTTTCCCAATTGTCTGTACTTATCTCATAATTTGAAAAGATTTATGAACTGTTAAAAAAATCACTTAAAAATTTTTAGTAAAAAGTTTCATTTGGTTGAAATTAATGTAGTCTTTTTTAAAAAAATAACTGCTTTATGATTAATATGTATAATATGAAGTTGCATTTTTTTAATGACAGAGGTGAAACACAATCTAAACCTTACAGGAGTGTTTAAAGTGAAAGCTGTTCTCTCCTATCATTATTTTTTGGGGCACAGATTTGTAGGTATTTGGGGAAATACATGAAATGCTATTGATATTTCTTACTAACTGTTTTAGAATTAGAGCTGTAGAAATTTATTCTTAAATAACTTAAAAGTGAACTTATAGCTGTTGAGAGAAAAACTGAATTACCTTCACATATTATGAAGCAACATGAGATAACCATATTTTATTTATGTTTAGTCCCATAAGGTCTTACCATATATATTAAGTACAGACTCACTAGTGATCATTAATTTAGAGGTGCTTTCAGAACAAATCATTTATTTGATAGTTTTCTTAAATTTTCTGAAAAGCTAAAAGACCTATTAAAACAAATACCTTGTAAAAATCCTTTTATTTTGAGTTTATGTGCATTTCATCTTTAGATTAATGGAACTTGTTAATATTAAAAGTGTTTAAGGTAGGAGTAACACTTTCCCTTTTCTTTGAAATTTTGAAACACATTCCCTGAACTTATACAAGGCATTCCCACACATGAATCCCCCTAGTTCTTAGTGGCAGCCTAGTAGAAGTTTGAGGCTAAGTAAATTCCTTCCTTCCTTTAATTCCTTATGCAGAAGCCTGAGCTTCCTTTATTGCAACACTCTATAACCAAGGTTCTGTGAAACCTAGATCAGCTTCTGAAATCAAATGGAACTTTTTCCATTATTGATTAGCTATAGAATCCACTTTGTTAAACTAGTTGAGGGTAATAAGAGACAGTTGAGTCATTAACTGAGAAGATGACAGGTCTCCAAATGTGACCATTGTCTTTCACTAGGTCAGCTATTATTTATTCAACAGAGGAGCCTTTTTGTTTAAAAGTGTATGGGACATTTACTTCAATGAAAGTAAGAATGGACCTGCATTTGCAACTTTAAATTAGATCCAGGGAGTTATCCTGATCAGTTAGAAAATTCCTGTTGAGAATAATGTTCCATCCTAAATAGAAACAAATTTTATTATTTCAAAGTTCCAGACTGCTGTGAGGGTGGCTTTCTAATTGCACACATAAAAAAAAATAAAATAAAAAAAAAATCACAAGATATAGAGTCAACAAATCATTTATTAAGAAGGAAAATTAAAAAAAAAAAAAAGAAGGAAAATACACCGAATTCAGTACTATTGAAGACTGATTCTTTTAAATGGTGTCTGATTTCAAGTTGCAAGTTGGTTTGTTGTAAAATGTTGCCCAATCATTGTGCTCATGCTAATTAGATGCCAGTGACTGTCTTTCAGATTCTTGTAACTGGTTGAATTGCTTTTAATCTTGCAGGCTCAAAACAAAATTGTTTCGTAAATCCACATTTGTGGCACTTTCCAGATTATGAGCAAGTTTCAGCAAAAATTTTCTCTTACTTCATCAGGAGCTACAATCGAGTGGTTAGAACCAAAGATACCTATATCAAACCACTATAAAAATGGAGCTGATCAGCCCTTTGCAGCTGAGCAGAACAAGCCAGTGGCAGTCCCAGAAGAGCAGTCTGTTGCAGAGTCTGGACTATTAGCAAGGGTAAGGTAATGTGAAAGTAAGATTTTGATGTTAAAAAAAAAATTAGGAATCACTGAAAAGGTCATTTCCCTTCTTTTCAGCACATGCAGAGAAGTTTAACATTATAGCAACACTCCTGCAAATTCTAGACATTGCTGTTTTCTTTGAAATTACATTGAAAGAAGTCTGTTGTACATGTTGTCTTTTCCAGGATAAATTGTGTAATCTGTTTAGTGTTGCTTTCTTTCTCCTTGCTAATAATATATATTTTTAAAATTTGGTATTTGCATGGCTTTTTCCCTTCTAGAAAATAGCTTATCTAATAAGATTGCTTGCATGATGTTTGTCTTTTGGTTCTTCCTTCATAATATTAAGATTGCTTATTAAAAGCTTTCTATTAAGTTTGAAAGTTTACTTTTAAGTCATTTTTTACCATAAACTGTCTCAACAAGCCCATTTTTAAAAGTGGTTGAAACAATACACAATTTCAGAATTTAATTTTTTTTTATGGAATGTTATTTATTCCATGTTTCTCATAAACTAAAAATACTTTCATTGAGTCATAATTTCACTGCCTTATTTTATCTATATACATCTTTTGTGTTCACTTCTTTTGGTTATCATAATTACGTAGATAGTTGCATATTAAGTTTTTTTATTTGCTGTTTTTCATAAGTATTTTTCCAGTGTTGCTTTTTTCTATATAATTAAAGTTGTAAATAGGCTTTTAAGTTAATGCCACATTCTGAATATCTAGGTTGTTTTCTGTTTGTTTTGTTTTTATAAATAGCACTGCACTATTTCAGGGTTGTTTTTTTTCCCCTTCTTTATTCCCAAGTAAAATTACTGAGACAGAAGTAATGAACAGTTATGACTTTTTATATTTTAGCAAGTTTATTCTTAAAAAGAAATATATGACACAATGACTTCCAGAGCTGGCACAGCCCTTAGCTTGCAAACTGTGGGAGCGGAGTGGGCTGGAGAGGAGGGAAAAAGTAATTCATTAATTCACTTTGGCTAGTACATTTGTGGAGTCAGGCAAACAATAATATCCTTTAAACTGTCCAGCATATCACAAGCCAAGTTTTAGGAACTGGAAGAGATGGGGGAAAATGTACAACATAGTTCTTTTCCTGACAAGACTTGTAATAAACTTCTTGGGGTTAAAAGACATATATACCAAACTGGTGAGATGATAATCTGGAGATTTATTCTTTGTTTTGGTCTTAACTGTTGTGGTTTACATTATTAGAATATGGTTATATAGAGGCAGGAGAGAGTTTGAGTGTGGTAAATAAGAAATACTTTGGCAAGAAACCAGATTTGACATTAGACTTGGAAAAGTGGCCAGGATTTAGAGAAAAGAAGAATAAATCTGTAAGTAGAGGAGTAATATAGCAGGGATACTCAATTCATTGCTTAACCGACTCAGAGCTGACCCTTCATTGGGTTTTTGAGGCTGTAAATCGCGTGAGAGGAGAGTGCCTACCTTCCTCCCTTGGAGCTGCTGTTGGATTTCCAGTACTAGTGAGGCTTGGCCTTTGAGTTAGCAGCACAAGGCCCTACGGGGACCACTAGGGCTCCCTACTGCGGGAATACTGAGATGGAAAAGCTCATTATGGAGAAGGCTTGCCTGATGGTTCTCAATCTGATTCTACCATTTATTCTTAAGTGGACCAATTAATTAACGACTCTTAGTTTCAAACTCAATCCGCCCCATTCTCCCTCCTTTTTCCCTTCAGGAAAATAGGAGGTGATGTTGTATGCTGTTGAATCAGAACCAACTCATAGCAGACAGTGGGTTTTCAGAGGCTTTAAATCACATGGGAGATTGTCTGTCTTTCTCTCATGAAGCAGCCTAGTGAATTCGAACCACCTGCCTTTGGGTTGACAGCACAGCTTCTTACTAAGAAGCCACCAAAGTTCCCTTAAGTAGGGATAGTAATGCCTTTTAAGAGTGTTAAGATATATAGAATAAGTTTAGGAGGGTATAAGAAATGATTATAGGGGTTTTTTTATGTTATAACTCCATATAGCACTATTTGTGCAACACTTGTGAATAATGCTCCCTGGATCACTGTTTTAAGAGTATAAATCTTGCCCCTCTGGAATTGTGCAGTACAGGGAACTAGATCAACAAATTGTAATTGTGTTGTGTACCCTCATGTTGGAACTGATCCATAGCTAACCCTCCAGTGGGTTTTCAGAGGCAATAAATTGCATGGGAGGAGATTGCCCATTCTTTTTTTTAACCAAAAGAAATATTATGTGGGAGAATTTGTTTAGTGAGGTCATGAGCATAGATTAGAATGTGAATGTGCAAAATATGATATGAATGATATTGCATGAATTAGAATTGAAGTATTGATAAATACTGTAAATAGAAATGAATTCAAATAAATAGATATGTATGCTTCAAATGATAATTCTGTGGACTTACAATTGATAATTGGATCAAAGATGATTCACTAGTTTTTGAGCCCAAATGACGATGTAAAATTGTGGTGCCATTCACTAGGAAAAGAGCTCTTTGAGACTTAAAGGGCTAGTATAGTTATGAGCAGGTTGACTTAAGTGAGAGAGGGATATTTGATTGTAAATGTATATAAAAAGCAATTTGGGGTAATGGGACCAAAACTCAAGAACAGGACTAACAATGCAATTTATAAGTGAAAAAATGAGAACGTGTAAGTCACACTATAGCATGTTCATTTTTTTTAAATAGAACATAAACATTTTGGAAATCAAGATAAGATAGTGATAGCGCACAGGAGTGGGGAGGAGAGCTTTAAAGTATTTCTGATTCTTTTGAAATGGTGAACACATGTATTTGCCTAGTATATGTGCAAAACCAACCAAACAAAAATTACATAATTTTTTTTGCTTTGTTTTAGTTACAAAAGTCATTAAGTTTTTATTTGAGCACACCAGAAAAGACTTGAATTTTACAAACGCTTTATAAACATGAAACATGAAGGCTAATGCAGCCTGGAGGGTGGTATTATAGTAGTGGATGATTTTTGCCCTGGTGTGAGAGGAATTAAAACCTGAGGAGACTAGAATGAAGCCCTCAGTTTCTTTGTGCCCCAAATCAGAAATATTGAAACATTTTAAAAAGCGAAGAGGGCTTCCAAATCCTGCAGTTCACACCAAGATTTACAGTCAACATCTAGTTAATATAATTTCTCCTTTCTTCTGTTAATATATAATTTACCCTTTCTTTTTGTATAAATAATAATAATTACAATTTTTAATATAGCTTCATTATGAGGTTCTAGTATATGTCTTTAATAATTTCTTTAACTTAACTTTCATGTGAGGAAGTTTCAAACCACAAAAATTCTGTACTGTATATAATAGTCATAAAACTATCTGCATTATTATTAATCTCTGTATGTTTGACCTCAAATGTAATAGTACCTTTTCAGAGGGCTGGAGAAGATGCTTAATCAAGACTTAGCAGGTTTTTTCCTTCAGCATTTCTCAAGTAAATGTAGACCAGAGGATGATGGTCTCCTGCTCTCTTATGATGTGTATAAACATTCAGAAGTGATCCCTGAGTGGCGTTCAGCTGCTTAAAGAAAGGTTTGTTATTCGAACCCACCCAGAGGTGATGTCTGTTTCCCAGAGGCTGCAACGTTGAAAACATTATGGTGCAGTTCTACTCTGGGGCTTACTGGGTTGCCAGGAGTTGGAATCAACTCAATAGCAACTGATTTGGTTTGGATTTTAAACTTTAAGAATACTTATATTGCATAACAGTTTTAGGCTAGGTAGGAAAAGTATTTTTTACTGATTTACTAGCTATTAAAATGTAATTGAGAATTTCTTTGGGATTTTTTCCTCAGTTTATAAAGACATAGTATATTCTTTTTTATTTTAAGTGTATTCTTAATATAAGGAACTGAATCAGATCATATATTTACTTTATCAGAATCTCATGTGGTACAGATTCCCTTGATAAGAAAGGAAAAGAAAAAAAGACAATACTAGAAACCCGCTGTACTTTGTGTTTACTATTTTGAGAATATTGAATTTTCTAGTTTTATCTGATTAG